AAAATATCAGCAAAGAAATGACAATCCTAAATGACTGACTAGGTCAGATGGACTTAATTGACATCTTCAGAACATTTCACTCCAAAGTCACAGAATATATGTTGTTCTCAAGTGCACATGGGACATTTTAAAAAATAGACCATATATTGTGTCACAAGCAAAGTCTCTCCAAAGTCAAGAAGATTGAAATCATATCAAGTATTTTTTGTCACACCACGATGGCATAACATTAGAAATGAACTACAATAAAAACAACCCCCCAAAATTCAAACACTTGGAAGTTGAACAGCATTCTACTAAACAGTGATTGGGTTACCAAAGAGATCAAAGAAGAAATTTAAAAATCCTGGAAACTAATGACAATAAAAACACATCAATCCGAAATCTATGGGACACAATAAAAACAGTCCTGAAAGGGAAGTTTATAGCTCTACAGGCCTACCTGAGAAAACAAGAAAAAAATGCTAATAAATCATCTAACTCTACAACTCAACAAATTAGAAAGAGAGCAACAAGAAAAGCCCAGAGTGAGTGGAAGGAATGAGATAATAAAGATCAGAGCAGAAATAAATGACATAGAGACAGAAAACAAACAAACAAAAACAAAAACAAAAAACAATACAAAAGATCAAGAAAGCAACAGCTGGTTCTTTGAAGGGATAAACAATATTGATGAACCTCTACCAGGCTCACCAAGAAGCAGAGAGAGGACCCAAATAAACAAAATCAGAAATGAAAGGCAAAATAACAACAGACACCACAGAAATACAAAGGATTGTTAAAAGAAAATACTATTAACAACTCTATTCTAACAAATTAGACAACCTAGAGGAAATAGACATATTCTTAGAAAATTACAACCTTCCAAAACTCAATCAGGAAGAATCTAAAAATCTCAATAGTACAATAACTATGGAATAAATTGAAGCTGTCATCAAAAAGCTTCCACCAAACAAAAGCCCAAGGCCAGAAAGATTCACAGGGGAGTTTTACCAAATATTCAAGGAAGAACTAAAACTTATCCTCCTCAGACTATTCCATAATATTCAAGAGAAAGGAACATTTCCAAGATCATTCTATGAAGCTAGCGTCACCATAATACCAAAACTGGATAAAGACAACACAATGAAAGAGGATTACAGGCCAATATCCTTCATGAATATAGATGCTAAAATCCTCAACAAAATTCTACTAAATTGAATCCAGCAGTACATCAGAAAGATCATACACCATGACCAAGTATAATTTATCCTGGGGATGCAAGGATGGTATAATATCCGCAAATCAACAAATGTGATACATCACATAAATAGAGAGATAAAAATCACATAGTCATATCCATTGATGCAGAAAAAGCATTTGAAAGAATCCAACACCCTTTCTTGATAAAAACTCTCAACAAGGTGGGAATAGAAGGATCATAACTCAACATAATAAAAGCCATATATGACAAACCCACAGCCAACATCATACTCAATGTTCAAAAACTAAAACCATTTCCCCTAAGAACAGGAACAAGACAGGAATGCCCACTCTCACCACTTTTATTGAACATAGTACTGAAGTACTAGCTATTGTGATCAGATAAGAGGAAGAAATAAAAGGCATCCAAATTGAAAAAGCAGAAGTAAATCTGTCCTTATTTGCAGATGACTTGATAATGTACATAGAAAACCCTAAAACTCCATAAAAAATTATTAGACTTAATAAATGAATTCGGCAATGTAGCAAGATACAAAATTAATGCCAATAAATCTATGGCATTTCTATCCACCAACAATGAACTTACAGAAGGAAAGACTAAAACAACAATTTCACTTACCATCGCACCAAAAAGTTAAGATACCTAGGAATAAACATAATTAAATAATTAAAAGACTTCTACTCAGAAAACTATAGGTCACTGAAAAAAGAGATAGAGGAAGACATAAACAGATGGAAGAACATACCGTGCTCATGGATTGGTAGAATCATCTTCATCAAAATGTCCATATTACAAAAAAAAAATATATGTATATATATATATAGATTCAATGCACTCCCCATTAAAATACCAACAACACATTTCTCAGAATGAACTTTCAAAAACTTCATCTGGAATAAAAAACAAAACCAACCAACAAACAAATAAATAAAACAAATAAAAACACACATAACAGTGCATAGCCACAGCAATCCTGAGAATGATGAACAAAGTAGGTGGGATCTCAATACCAGATATCAAGCTGTATTACAAAGCCACTGTTCTCAAAAAGCCTGGTCCTGGCACAAGAACAGATGTATAGATGAATGGAATGGAATAGAGAACCCAGAAATCAACCCAAGTCACTATGTTCAATAAATATTTGACAAAAGAGGCATAAACATATAATGGAGTCAAGACAATCTCTTCAATACATGGTGTTGGGAAAATTGAACAGATACATGTAAAAAAAATGAAACTAGACCACCAACTTACACCATACACAAAAATCAACTCAAAATGGATAAAGGACTTAATCATAAGATGGGAAACGATTAAAAAAAAATACTAGAGTAATCCACAATCAACAAAATCTCAGACATATGTCAAAGCAATATTTCATTCATTCTGCTCCTTGGGCAAAGGAAACTATAGAGAAAATAAACAAACAGGGCTACATCAAAATAAAAAGATTTTTCACAGCAAAAGAAATCATCAACAAAACAAGAGAGCCCAATGTATGGGAGAACATATTTGCCAATGTTATCACTGATAAGGGTTTAATCTCCAGTATTTACATAGAACTAATGCAACGTAACAAAAAGAAGCTAAACAACCAAATCAAAAAATGGGCAACATACCTAAATAGATACTTTTTGAAAGAAGACATAAGGATGGCCAAGAGACATATGAAAACATGCTCAGTTACTAATCAATGCAAATCAAAACAATGCAGTATCATCTCGCATCTGTTGAATGACTATCATCAGCAAATCAATAAACGACAAGTGCTGGTGAGGAAGAGGAGAAAAAGGAACACTCATGCACTGCTGGTAGGAATGCAGACTGGTCCAGCCACTGGGGAGAATATTATGGAGTTTTCTCAAAAAACTAAAAATGGAACTGCCATTTGACCCAGTGAAACACCAATCAGAAAGCATATATATATATATATATATATATATATATATATATATATATTTAAAGCATATGTGCACCCTTGTGTTCATAGTGCCACAGTTTACTATAGCTAAGATTTGGAAACAGCCTAAGTGCCCATCAGCAGATGAGTGGATTTAAAACTGTGGTACACCTACACAATGGAATACTAAGCTGCCATAAAAAAGAAGTTCTTAAACTATTTGTGGCAGCATGGATGGAACTGGAGAGCATGATGCTAAGTGAAATAAACCAGTCAGAGAAATTTAAATATCACATGATGTCACTCATTTGGGAAAATAATGAATAACATAAACTAATGGACAAAAACAGATTCAGAGACAGAGAAACGTTGGTCAGCCCGTCAAACATTAGAGGGAAGTTAGGGGAGGGTGGGAGTTAGGAGGACAGATCAACCAAAGGACTTGTATGCATGCATAGAAGCCTAACCAATGGACACAGACAACATAGGGGTGAGAGCATGAGGGGAGGGATTGGGGGTAATAGGGGATAAGGACACATATGTAATACCTTTATCAATAAAGTCTTTTTAAAAGGTGATGTAATTGGGCTTTCAAAGATAGCATGATACCAACCCAAATTTAAGCACTCAATTTCATTGACAGGTAGGGTGGATATGTGGTTGGAAATGCTGTTGCTCAAAAACATGGCTAAAACTTCTCAGGTATACTGACTGTTGCATTACCTGCTCTGCTTCCACTACTTCTGCTGCTGTAACCACTCTCAAATACAGTTGATTTTTAGCAGCACTTGTCAATACAGTGCTGGCTTTCAGTGTCTTGACTCTCAGGATAAACTTTTTAAAAACTATATAATTTTATCATAGTGTGCATTTTTATCTTTATTGAACTTATTAGAGTGACATTGTTTAACAAAATTTTATAAGATTTAAGTGTATTCTTTCATAATACATCATTTCCACAGTGTATTGGGTGTTTATTACCCAGATTCAAGTGTCTGTCACATTTATTCCCCCTTTATCTTCTTCTATCTCCTTCCACAACCCTTTCTCTCTTGCTATCGATATCACCAAACTGTTGTCTGTGTCTATGGGTAGTTGTTTTTAATCCCTTCATCTTTTTCACACGGCCCTTCAAACCTCTCCCCTCTGACAATTGTTTCCCTTTAGGTTTTTAGTTTTGTCAACAGTGGGAACAGTGAAAACAGTAATAAAAAGGGGACATTTAACCGAAACCAGTTTGGCTCAGTGGATAGAGCGTCAGCCTGCGGACTGAAGGGTCCCGGGTTTGATTCTGGTCAAAGGCATGTACCTTGGTTTTGGGCACATTCCCAGTAGGGGGTGTGCAAGAGGCAGCTGATCGATGACTCTCATCGATGTTTCTAACTCTCTATCTCTCTCCCTTTCTCTCTGTAAAAATCAATAAAATATATTTTTAAAAAGGGGGGGCATTTACAGGGGAAGGTCTACAGCCTTTTAAAAATCCAAGTCTAGCCCTGCCATGGTGGGTGGCTCAGTGGTTGAGCATCAACCTATGAATCAGCAGGTCATGGTTTAATTCCTGATCAGGGAATATGCCTGGGTTGAGGGCTTGATCCCCCATGGTGCAAGAGGCAGCTGATTGATCAATGATTCTCAGTCATCATTGATGTTTCTATGTCTTTCTCCTTCTCCCTTCCACCCTGAAATCAAATATATATATATATATATATATATATATATATATATATATATATATATATTCCAATTCTTCACACTTGTCCCAAAAGGCAATAAAGGACTATCTATAAGTTCAATTCCCAGGAAGGGCCTGTGGATACCTAAGAAATCAGAAGGTTAGAGAGTAAGAATGATTCCTAGGAAAAACTGATGTAATTGACATGTTATTTCTCCAAACAGATCAGAATGAGGGATTTCACTGCAGGGAAGAATGCCGGATTCTTGGCCACTCTGACAGGTGCTGGATGCCCCGGAACCCCCTGCCCACCCGTTCCAAGTCCCCTGAAAATGTGCGGAATATCATCGCTCTGTCCATTGAAGCTACTGCTGCTGATGTTGAGGCTTATGACGACTGCGGCCCTACCAAGCGGACTTTCGCAACCTTTGGAAAAGATGTCAGCGACCACCCCACTGAGGAGAGGCCCACCCTGAAAGGCAGGAGGACTGTCGATGTGACCATCTGCAGCCCCAAAGTCAATAGCGCTATCCGGGAGGCGGGCAATGGCTGTGAAGCTATTAGCCCTGTCACTTCCCCTCTGCACCTCAAGAGCCCTCTGCCTACCAAGCCTTCCGTGTCTTACACCGTTGCCCTGGCACCACCCGCCCGCGATCTGGAGCAGTATGTCAACAGTGGTCCTTCTCGTCCCTCTGAAGCTGAGCCTCGTGGAGCTGACAGCGAGAAAGTCATGCATGAGGTCAATCCCATTCTGAAGGAGGGTCGCAACAAAGAGTCTCCTGGCATGAAGCGTCTGAAGGATATTGTTCTCTAAACCAGTCTCGGGGAAGAAGAAACCATGCTGGCTAGCGAAGAAGCAGGAGCTGATCATTTTAATTACTCACCAATGGTTGGTTCTTGAGTGGCTGTATTTCAGAGCTTTCCCTAAATGTATTGTTTATAAATGACTATCATTTTGTGACAATCCCTTGTTTCCACAAGCAGCAGGGGTGTTCGGTTGGAGCAAATTAGCTTTGGCTTGAGTTGTTCATGGGGCCTTGATGTTGGGGAAACAGATGAATTCAGTTGTGAAAAGTATTATGTATAAGTGTTTGAATTTATATATTTTTCTATGTCAAAATTATAATATAAATTACATTGTTTGTGGAGGCTTACATTTAAAAAAGGAAAAAAAAAAGCTGTGGACACTTTTAATAAGCTTGCCACTGTTTTGTAGTGTAGGCAAGTTAATGGTCATTTATTGTGTACTATTAATTGATTCAGTGATGTGAAATTGAGCCCCTAAAAGATTGTTTCTGAAGCTCAAGTAGTTTCCAATGCCGCTACTTTGCTGTGGACACCCCTGCTTTAAGAACCCTTTTGCTAGCTGTGCTATTGTTGTATTTGATATTGCAAATTGCTATGTGTGTGGTGATGGCAAAAGACTTTAAGAGATTGGTGTTTTTTTCTTAAAAAATAAATAAAACTACAGATAAAAACAAAGTGCAAACTGAGATGGCAAGTGAATAAGTAATACCACACGTATAGATAAGTACTTGGAGATACTCACTCTTGGAAGATACCAATGGAGTGATTGCTCACACCTTGTAGAGTATTTTGCCTGCCTTTCAGTCTTCTGCCCAGATCTGTGATAGATCGTTGCAGAAAGTCATTTTTTGATATTCTGCTATCTCATTTGTCAGAAATACTGTGCTGAAAGTTACATGAAATCAATTTTTCTAATTTTCAGGCCCTGAACAGGAAAGTTGCTCATGAAGTTATCATTTTCCAGGCTTAGAAATTCCCTAATTCCAATCACCTAAAATTAAAAAAGACTGAATCTATTTTGAGATCTAAGTTAGCATATTTTTAGATACACTTCCTGATTCAGTGTTTCCCAGTCATGATTAAAATTACACTACAAAGCATATCATGGGGTGGAATTGAGAACTCCATGTTGTTCTGTGTTGCAGGATTATAATTTGGGATTGTATAAGCAGTACTAAATGTACTTTTAGAAAAAGACAGGTAGCAGGTAACAGCATCACTATCTCAATTACTGAGCCTTCTATATGGAGACACTTGGACACTTGAACTCATCTTTTTATGACTAATACTTTTTAAAAATAAAAACGCGAACAGGAAACCATTAAAATAAAAATTCTTTAGATTTAGCTAACTCTTTGCTGTAGGCTAGGAATACACCTTTTTTATTAACAAGTTTGTTATACACATTTTTTGTTTAACATTCTTTCAACTCCCTCATTTATAAACTGTCTATTAATATTCACTAGCCAACATAGTATTCTTGCAGCTTAAGAGTTCAAGAGTTGTTTCTAGAGAAACAAGTTTTGTGGTTCTGTTCTCACTGGTTTTAGTTTTTTAAATTCAAGAGTACCCAATAAAAAAGCTTAGAGCAGCGGTTCTTAACCTGTGGGTCATGACCCCTTTGGGGGTCGAACAACCCTTTCACAGGGGTTGCCTAAGACATCCTGCATATCAGATATTTACATTATGATTCATAACAGTAGCAAAATTACAGTTATGAAGTAGCAACAAAATAATTTTATTGTTGGGGTCACCACAACATGAGGAGCTGTATTGCAGGGTCACAGCGTTAGGAAGGTTGAGGACCACTGGCTTAGAGATTAGAACGTTAGAATGCAAAAGGGAATTTATTTTCTTAAGTTTATGTAGATAACTCAGCTCTTTTAAATGTTTTAGTTATTTTTTACTAAAACAAGCCTTGAGTTCCTGGCTTTATACATTATTAAGTTAATTTATGAGTTACTAAGCCTTGAGTTCCTGGCTTTATACATTATTAGGAATATGTTCTTTTATAGGGGGTAAGGGTTTTGAGGAAGGGAGGGTAAGGCAGTGAAATGGAGTTAGGTAGGGGAGAATATTTCTGAAAAAGAACCTATAATAAAGCTACAAATTCATCCTTATTTCTTATTTAGTGCTGAATACTACCTCATACAAAATATTAGTGTGGCTGCAGATTTCCCCTTGAAACTGAAGTGATTAGTAATCAATTGCCATAGCATCTTCATCTTGGCTCATTTTACTCTCTCTGATACATTTTCCCCCTTTGACCCATTTTAGCAGTAGATTTTAAATTAGACATGTATTTCTGTTTGCGAATGACTATTTAATTAATAAATTAAAATAAACTCTTTTCCCTTTAAGTAATGATGACTACCTGTAGAATTTAGATTGCTCCTCACCTGATCCGTCTTGATATTATGTTCTTACCTATCACCTCAAGGTCACTTTTAAGTCAAATTTGATTATTTTGGTTCCAGTGTATTTCTTATTATGCTTAGTGGGAATAAAGAAACTGAAAGTGGGAACATTAAATATTATTTGGCTATTGAGCCAGAGAGGCCACTGGCTACCATAGCTCTTATCAGCCAAGTTTAAAATGGTTAGAGTAGCAATGGCGTTGATTTTGCATCTCTCTCATTCTCTCTTCTCAGAATTCAGAACCCAGCCATAGAACAATCATTTGTCCCTGTCAAAATATTTTGTTTTCAGTGGGAAGTTAGAGACTTTTTGGCTTCCATACCCTTGATTGAGCATGTTTAGATAAGTCCCCTTGTTAAGAAAACATCTCCCTCCACAATTTTCTGATGTATATATCCTCCCAGAAGCACAAGTGCATTCCTAAGCTGGTTTTATAGGAAGGCTGCCCTGCAAATAGGAATTTTGTGCAAGGATCCTAAATTTCAATTAGGCTCATATTTTTCACCCTTTTTTTCAACATGTCTGATAAAAAGTCACAAAGGCCAGAGAGCCAAATATTCTTACTTTTCCCTTTCTAAATATGTTATAAAATTAGATATGCAAAAGCAATTTTAGTTCCTAAATCCTAAAGAAGTCTATTTCATTTATTCTGATGTCCCTTTCGAGGAGGAGTTAGTCTTGCTTTACTTGTTTTGGGCATACCCCAGGGCAGGTAAACTTCCTCATTTGACATAAAGGGTTTACTTTGCATTAATTGTTTGTTTTTCCTCAATATGGGAGTATACTACATACAAGGAATAGGAAGAGGGGAGCCATGCTATGTGGAATCTCTTTTTTCTTTCCTTTTCATATACCAATTAACTTTTAACCTGTTCAGAATGATCCTTATTATCCATTTGATCCTCTTACAGCCAGTAGAATAAATTATGGCCCACATTGTTGCCCAAATAGGTAATGGGCCAAGGGATCCTCCAGTAACTAAAGGATAGTAATTCTCAAAGTGTAGTTCCTGGACCAGCAGCAAAAGCATAACTTGGGAACTTATTAGAAATGATCATTCTTAGTTCTCACCTAGACCAACTGAAGCAGAGACTCTGTGGGAGGGGCTTAACAACCCATATGGATCAGATGCCCACTAAAGGTTAAGGGCTTGTTAAAGCACAGGTTGATGGCTCCAAACTTGGAGTTTCTTAATCAGTAAATCTGGGTGGGGTCAGTCTTTGTCTATTTTAAAATTCCCAGGTGATGCTGATGCAGCTAGTCCAGGGGCCAGTTTGAATATCACTGTTCCAGAATAAATCTACCTAACTAGAACTAATTGCATATAACATGCTTATTTAAACTAATTCATTGACATGGTGACCCATTGATCACTAATAAAAAAATGTTAAAGAAATACAATTTAGAACACTGAAAACTGAAATCATTCAGAGTATCATTCTGGTAGTATTACTTCAGCCTGAAACTGATTGAATGAAGGGACTTCAGTTGAATTTTCCATATAGCTCTGTCATGTCATTAAAAACAGAAAAAAGTGGTCCACTTGAAGCAACAAGAACATAGGGCAGTTTGGGGAGAGGCAGGGTTATAGGGGACAGCTTGACTGGGCATCCAGGGTGGGAAAACAATTATTATTGTACATAATAGAAGTTCTGACTGGAATTCCATTCCTTTATGGGGATCATTTTGATGTCAAATGTTCCCCAAAGCATCTTGACAAGTCTGGTTCACTTGGCTTTTTTCACAGGGTAATAAGACCCTAAATGACTTTGAAAAACTGGCATAAATGAGCTTAAGAAGTCCATTGTATACAGTCCTAGTGTTTGCCTTCTCGGTAAAATTACATTTGAGGATGTCATTTCATGAGTCAAATTGTAACTGCTGATACTGAAGTGTATTGAGATGTTGTTCTTTAGTTTAAGTATGTAACAAAGTAATATTCAATGGGGATGTGTGGGGGTGGGACTGGGTGGCTTTATATTGATATTGAAATATTCCAGAGCAAAACACATTGTCCTAATGAAGTTGTTGCAGCTCTCTTTGTTTTCTTGTGAAGCTGGAATTGGCCCGTGGGTCATTTGTTGTGCAAAAATGAATTAATTTAAAATATAACTCATATTGCTTTTGTAAAACAAAGAAAATCAACCACCTTGTCTGAAATATATATTGTGAGGTGCTCTTGGTAAGGAACAACCCACAAAAACCTGATCTTGATTGGAAAGCATTGTAGGTCATTAGGAAAAACTGATGATGCTGATTGTTGCTCCAGCTGTGTTGGCAATTAAATATAAACTTGCTACTAACTGAAAGTTGCTGTCAACTTTAGCAAACAAACCAGCTAACACCATTACAGTACTGGTTAAATAAATTTTTACTGGCACTGGCTGGAGTTCAGCTGAGGAAGGCTAGGATACAGACTTTAATGACCAAGAGCCAGACTAGCTCAAGCTAGAAATTCAGCAACAAATACCTCCGTGAGTTATTTGAATGCTAAGGTATTAGTTGCAAAGGCTTAGGCCTTCGCTCCTCTAGTGAGGGGAATGAGCCTGATGACACTATTACTGTTTACCTGTCAAACCAGGGTGGAAA